TCCCCCCCCCCCCCCAGCTTTTACAAAAAGGAATGAAACTGGCTTACAAAAACCCCATCAAAATCTTGGTGAACTGTAATTATGGCTTGTGCTATCGTGAATGTGAACTGAACCCAAAGAAAAACCATAATAGTAAAACTAAATATATTTGCTCTATTAATAAACCATAGTAAGCCAAATATGTCTTATTTTGTTTCCATTCCACAGAAGATAAATTATTACGGTTGAGTTTCCGTTCTGGTTGTTGTGTTGAACCAGTTTCAAACCAGTTTTTAACTTCTTCTGACCTCTCTGAGGCTTTCTCTGTCAGGGTTAGAGATCCCTCCCACTGATCCTTATGTTTTCTGCCCTGCCTCTCTGTGAAGATCAGGATTAGGGCCAACGCTTGGGGCTGAGCAGAAAGATAGCCTAGTTGTTGTTGTTTTTTACAACATCAAATGATATAGTTTGGTTGATGCAAAAACGAACCATGAAGAACTCCAAAAGAATCTCTTTGAAGTGAAATGAAATGGGTGTTCATATGGCAAGTGAAATTATGCGTCAGCAAATGTAATGTACAGAGGAGCAAACATTCGTATTATACATGCTGCTAGAGTCTGGGTGAATTGCAATCTTGGTATGGTGGTGGATAGCTCACTGAAAATGTCAACACAGTGTGCAGCTGCTATGAAAAAGACAAACAGTTCCATGCCGTGGGTCATTAGGAAAGGAGTTGAAAATAAAACTGTCAATATCATGATTACTTTATACAAATTTATGGTGCAGCTATGACTCAAAAATGCCATGGAGCTGGGAAAAAAAGGCAGGAAAAGGCATTCAAAATGATCATGTGTCTGGAGCAACTCTTCTCTGAGGTGAAATTAAAATGTCTGGGGCTTTCTGAGAGGTACACAATATTTCTTTAGCAGAGACAAGAACGTGAGTAAAAGGTGGGGAGGGAACCTGAGGTATTCCAGTTAAACGATGGCAGAATCGGGAGAGTTAAAAGAAAGTACTCGTTCATACAGAGTATAGTGGAAGTCAGAATTTGCTGTCATATGTCGCTATGATGGCCAACCATTTCGATGGTGTTTAAAAGGGATTTTTGACTAATTCATAGTGGATATGGCTGCCAACAGCTACTAATCAGGGTGGATATATATGAACTTCCATATTGGAAGCAGTACGTCACTGAATGTGGGTTGCTGGGGAGTATGAGCTCGTGTCATCCTTGAGAGCTTCCATAGGAAACTAGTTAGTGACAGAATCTGGTTCCTAGCATAGTTTACATATGAAGACTGCCATAGATGCAAATCATACAAGAACAAAAACATTTGTACTATGTTTAGACAGCCTTCATTTAGAAAGCTTTATCGTGGCTGGTCATAAAATGGCTTCACTGGTTATTTGTTGTCTCACCCACCCCTCAAATATTCCACATCCATTAAGGAACAATTATTTCTAAAATGGTCTGTACCTAAGGAGATATGCTATGGGAAGGTATATCTGTTTTGTTTTTGTGGTGGAAGTGACGTAATTATAATGAAGCATTAATGGTAAGCTGGCATTTTGACTATCCCAATATTAATGGAATAGGGCCCCTATTACTGATGATTCAGTTGTCTGTCAGCCTGATAAATGGATTAGTGTAAGAGGTATTCCAGTGGGGAAATAGAGCCCATAGGGCTTCCAGCTAATTATATTTAAGTTGTTTAGTACTGCTGGGAAGCAGCATTTAGGCAATTGCTGAAAGCTTTGATGCAAGGTGGCCCTTTAGACTCTGTGTTCAGAAACTCATTATCCTTTCAGGCTTGTGTTGGATGGATTCTAGGAAGCTGACATGAAATGGAGAACAGCAATAAATAGGCAAGAGGACATTTTAATTCCGCTTCTGATCATGTCCTGATTCAGCAGCTATTAGTCTGTGTGATTTGTATGTCATACCTGTATTCAGAAAACGATTCTCCTTTAACTTGATTTGTTATTTCTACAAAACATTTTACTTTAATGCGATCTCAATAAGAGTCTTATCCGATCTGTCTAAATAAAAATTTGGAGGGGGGAGTGTTTTGTGTATTCCACATTCCCACGAGCCCAGGTGGTGCTGAGAGTTCAAAGCACCTTTCTTAAGATCTGCATCTGATGTCTTGATTGGTCTTGTCTCCTAAGTGCAACCTTGCAACTGTTATCTAAGCTTTATGACTCTGAAGTCATTGTATGGCATTGCTTCATGATGGACAATCCTTTAAAACTATACAGAATTTAATCTTGGTGTGAATGCAAAATCAGGGGTAGCTGCAGAAGTTATACTGCATATTATCTCATGAGCTGCATTTGCTTCTTTGCTCCCAAGCGCAATGTGCTGTATCTACACTTATTTTCATAGCATATATGCCTCTCTTGCTTTCTTTTTTATCATTCCTCCTACCAACTGTTTGCCATTTTAAGGGAAGTTGCTAAAGCTGTTTTGTGTGGTTCCTGTGAAAACTCCTATAATGGCCTACGTGCTGTGAAGCTCCTCACAATTCCGTACTACCGACCGAAGGACTGCCAAGGTTGTGCCTTAGGAGTCTGAAACAGAAGCAGATCCCTTCCTTTTAATTTCAGAGATTCACCTTGTGATTTATTGGCTGTTTTTACTGTGTATGTTTCAGAGAAAATTGCTTTATGGATTCTTCTGAAGTCTATGGATGTCTTAACAGAAAACTTTAAAAAACAGACATAAACTGTAATTAATTAATTGTTGCATTACTGAGTTACTGAGCATACAAATATTTGCAGGTTGTCCCGGCACCTGCATATTTTAGGTTATAGATCTTGCTTTCCTCATTCAATGGAATGCAGTACAGGGGTGAGTGCACCTAGCTCTGAAAAGCACTGGAGAATTATTTCTCTCAGCTGAGCAATGGGACTGACTTTCTATGTGGACTTATGCAATATATGTATGCCTGTTATTTTCTTCTTCTTCAATATTGTGCACACATACTTTACGTGGACATCAAGACACGTAGAGTAGATGACAAAGACATGTATTATCCAGTTACAGTTGGAACTGGGAATGGACATGTTTCTCTACTAAGTTTATCACACATCTCTTTTAGTTCCAAAAGTTCTGTTTTGAAAGAAGGTTTGCCGCAACAGCAGTAGCTGAGGGGTGCTCAGCTAGTGGAGGAGGGAAGACTGATAAAATACTTTGCAGGATAGTGCTAGATGATTCCTTTTCACAGTTCTATTGCTGTTGGGCACTGTGCAGAAACCTCACCTAAATCTCCTACTCTACTTGGCTACAGACAGAGTCTCTCAATGAGGTGTTGGTCTTCAACCACATATATAAGAAAACTGGACTTAGTATTGGTTGCTTGCAATTCACTTGACGCTCACATTCCAGTAAATCCTTTCTTCTTGATATTTTAGAGTTCACATATTTAAAGAGCTAGGGTAGGAAGTTCCATGTACGCTAGACCATATATAATCCGCATATGGTAAAATGGGGGTGATAGGCAGGGAAGGAAATATTCCATGCCAGCTCTATAATGTTTTAGGTATGTGCCTGCCCAGTCTTTGGTATCAAGGACTTGGGAGGGCTCTGTGTTTCCAGTAGCTCTGAAGTTGTTCGGCACCCCCCCCCCGAAATGTATCCATATGAGGGTGTTAATATTAGTGGACAGTAAATGCTGGGCCTGCATCCTTAAACCAGTCCAAATTCCAAAGCTGTTATCCATGTCTGTGGGGCAAGTCTGGTGCAAGTATTTTGTGACCTTAAATTGCAGGGGGTAGGCAGAAGCAGGTCATCAGACAGCTTAGGTCGTAAATAATTCCAAGGATTCCTGGCAAGGCAGAGAGAGGTGAGACCGTTAATGACTTGTCTCCAATGAACTAACTGAAGGTGCTCACAGAATTTATAGTTCTCAGCATGCATCCTTCAGGAATCCAGCTGTTTGTAGTTAAGTTATCCAGAGACCTTGAAATGCTGATACAGATTTTTGTTTGAATCTTCTGAGCCTTTGTCGTTCTCCTTTGAAAATGGACCTTATGTCCACCAAGCTCTTCTTGTTATCCAACGCTTTGCTGGCCAAGCTGGCCTCAGCCCTTCCCCCTAAGGCTTCCCTGAGAATGATGTCAGCTGGACCACTGAGTTCCTCCTGTTCACTCCCTCTCCCCCCCCCCAGCTGCAAGATAAACCCTTCTCTTTTGGAAGATGGCTGATTAAGGTGAGGAGTGACAGAAGGGCCTGCACCATCTCCAACTGACAGTAACCACAGTTAGCTTTGTGTTTCTGGGAGCATTATGATCTGTGTGGCTCAGATCCAGACTACCAGAAAACTGTTTTCTCCCATATGATCCTGCTCATCTGTTGAGATCTTCAGAGGACGATGCTGCGGAAACTAAATATAGAGCCTGTTGCACACAGGACACGTGCTGTACTTGTAAGTGGTATTTTAGAGTTTATGGAGATATGGTCGCATCCTGTGTGCCCTGGGCTTCTCAATGTTATCCAGGTGATAGAAAACAGAGCCATGGTCCAGGAACGTTTTTCTCGCCACTGTAATATAAGAATGAAGTATAAATGGACCAGACTTGTCTGTGTTAAGACTGTAACCATCAAAGTAGTTCCTCTTTTCAGAAGAGCATGGGGATGCAGAAATTTAATTTGGTTTCATGTACTTTGGCAGTCAGATGTTGTCATAACTGATAGAGAAGTGGCGCACAGGATGGGCATCGTGTTACATTTTCAGTACAAACTTGATTTGACCAAAGATATGTATTCTCTTATTCTAGATTTCTCCACTGTCAAATGCAAAGATCTCCATGGTAACTCAAACCCCCAGCCTCTTTTCAGCTGCCTGCAAGAAGCAGTCTTCAGCAGCTCAGAGGTCTCACGACCAGGTAAGCTGGACAATTCAGGACAAGAACTGTAGTGTTCCTGCTTATTGTGTTTTATCTTAATTGCAAATGGAAGTTGCATAGATTTCTAAGCATGCTGAATTACTATAACTGCAGGTTTTTTTTTAAATTAGAAAAACAGAGGTCCTAGTGAAGAATTCACCCTAAGAAACACCTGTATTCCACCAATGAAAGTTCTTCTACTTGATCTGTAGGAGAAGATAAATAATTCTTGTTATAACCATCTTGTGTTCATGGGTCCCATTCTCCCCACCCCCTTTGTTCCCTCATGCCTCTCCTCCTCTGGTGTTGCACTAAGCATTTTGAAAGGTTTACTTCTATTTTTAATTAATGGTTTGTAGTTTTGTCTGAAACAATAAGTGGTTAATTTTGACTCTGTTGTGAAAGAAAATAACCTGAAAACTTTTATAAGGAGAACTGCAAGAAAAAAATCTTTATAAAAATATTGCAGTTAGCATTAAGAGGTAGACAATAAAAAATGAGGTTTAATGTTGTGGAGTTCTGTGGTTTTAGGCATACTTCCAAAAATGGGCTTTAAAAATCCTAAGAATAGCAGGGGAAATAAGGTTCCAGAGACAAAGATGTGTATACATTCATTTGTTAATTTATTAAAATATTAAATCCTGCTCTTCCACAAAACTGTTTCCACACCAAGAAGTTCACAAATGGCTTTAAATGAAAAACTGTTAAATAGTAAAATCAGAAATCAAACAATAAAATTTAAATATAATAAAGTAAGTACATTCCTGAGCTGCTTTATACTCACCCTGTAACCTGCTGTCTATGTGGGGCCACCTTTGAAGAGATTTTGAAAACTCGAGCTGGTACAACAGCATAGAATCAAAATCATACCACATGATATGTGAGTTGCTTTCTGGGCCCAATTCAGTTTAAAACCGAAGACAGTGCAGGGTCTGGAGATATATGGCTCTGCCTGTGTTGTTATGAACCTGTTTGGATGTTAAGATCTTCAGGAGGGGTTCACTTGAAAGTATAATCAAGTCCAGAGGCCACCTTGAATGGTGCATCTCCTGTATTGCTTCCACAACTGTGATTTCAGAGTTCTGATAAGTTTTGCAGACATGATACTTTCAGGAAAAGTGTGAAGATGCATCTTTTCAGGCTGGCCTTTCAAACTGTTATACTGATGGCAGTGATGATTTTGATTGCTTTATTTGTGAATGTAATGGGTTTATTGTCCAATCTGTTTTTAATTTATTTTCATTCTATTTAAATTTAACGATAACTGCTATGAGTCCTTTTTTTTCAGCAGAAAGGTGGCATATAAATTTAATGATAACATTCCGAAGACAAGAGTGAGTTATACATGTATTAAGACAGAGGGGAAAATTAGCAAATATAAGCAAGCTTTTGGTTTCCTACAGGTTTAGCACCACAGAGCAGTGGATGGTGAATTAAAATAATGGCCAGATGTACGTGCTTTGTAAAAAGTGAGTTTCAAAAGGGAGATTGCAGATTCAAGTCAGAAGTGTAGGTTTACTTGATGATATTGATTGGAATGCCTCTTCCTATCTTTTTTAGACAAAAGGTTGCCAGTTATTCAGTATTCCTCCCCCCCATCCAGGTATCTTCCATGGTTAAAAAAACAACACACACCCACACCCATGTAATGGTAACAGTAATTATGATGATGAGTGTCATGATGGCAATATACACTCAGTCATAGTCTTGACAAGTACCTTGACAAGATCTAATTAAGAGAGAAGGTGTAACTGGTCCAAGTGCTGCCAAGTGCTGATTTTAGAAAGTGGGGATGTCATGAGTGAATACAGACTACAGATTTTTTTTTAAATAATTTAATCAAACATTATTATAAATAAAAACAAAAATAAAGTCATTTTCATCACAGGAATGCATGTCCTCCATCACCCCCCACTCCTTTAAACTAATAAACAGGCAATTCCCAGGCTGCAGACAACACAGAAAACCAGTCCTGTATACAAGTCTTTAGTGCAGGAATTAGTAACTCTCTGATTCTAGAAGTTGTTCCCATGCTCGCCCACCATTGCCTTTGCTAGTTAAGGAGTTAGAAGCCGAAAGGCTGTATTCTGGAGGGCCGCAGTTGCCTGGCGCTGATGTAGGTCTTGCTGAAGGTGATGTATTCCAGAATGGCACCGCAGTTTGGGAACCTGTTGTAGCGGGCACGCTGAGGCCTCTAATATCTCAGGCCTCCAGGAGGTGCTCACTCTTCCACTCAGTTGCTGCCACCAATACTTCAGTTCAGTATCAATTAGTTAAGAAGACGTGTTGCTTTGAAACCTAAAACTTGTTTATTTGATCAGTAAAATAACATAGGTCAATCACCAGTTGTTAATCAATAACTCTCACTCACTGACACACAGACTCTTCTCTCACTGACTTTTTGGCTCACAGGCCCACAGACTCACTAATCTCACACTAATCACAAATCTCTCCAAGATCTCTTCCCCTTCATACACCTTACACCCTTATTTATATCCCAGATCCTCCCCCTTTTTGCACCACCTTCCGTCCCCTCATTGGCTGCTGTTCCACTGCTCAGCTGTGATGGACAGGTGAGGGCAGGGCTGAACACTACACCTGTAACCTGGCCCCACACCACACTGATGTCATGTTTGTTCTGTAGATGTTGTATCACTGAACAGTACCTCAAACTGAGGTACTTGATTTGAGAGGCATGCAGATCTAAGCGCATGTACATTATTGCAGAAGCCATGCTAAGTTGTAATTAATGTTATGTTCTTCAGCATGAGTGTATCTTTTGTGGCTAGTACTGCAAAAGTAACAGTTACCTGGCAACTAGGCCTTAATAGTTGTTAGAAGGATTGTTGTTGTTTTTAAACTAATGTTTAATATGCTAATTTGAACTGAGGGAGAACTACAAATACAATTTTTCTCTTGTCTTTCTTCATTATGTCTTTGTGACAAGCGGAATTTACTCTGCTACATTTTAAAGGTTTCCTTAGGCAACCTTTGATTGCAGCACAATAGGGTAATATTAATTTGCCCATTTACTCTAGAGTGCTGTATTCATCATATTGTCCAAATCAATCTTTATTTTCTTGGAAAGTTACTTAACTGAAGGAAGAGAAATACATAGTTTGGATGGTTATTCAAGTTTTTCTGACACAAGCATTTGTGAAATCTTGAGCAAATGTCAGGGCTGAGCACTCCTGCTGCCCCTCCCACTGGATTGAGTACTAAGTTCCCAGATTCCTTTAAACCAGTGTTCCCCATTATCTCTGAAGCTGGTAGCTGTGGTTTAAAAATTGCTTAACAAAAGGAAAAAGATGAGTGTCTGGTTCCAGTTTCATGAGCCATGTCATATAAGCCTCAAAAGGTTGCCTAAACTAGACCAAAGTATAAGGTATGTTAGGCTTCAGTTAAACTAGTATGGATTCAGAGGAAAATCTAGCTTGGTGCTATATGGTTTAAAAGCTTATCTGGTGTCAAAAAAGCCAACATTGATCAATAGAAGACTGATTCATCATAAACTGCACATTGTCTCATATGGTCAACAGTGTAACTGTGATCTTTCAGGAAAGAACCAGATTTGGCCTGGATGTAAGATTTGCTTCCAGTGGGCAGAAAGAACTTATTTTCTAGATTGGAAAAATCAAGAAAAGGCGGCATAGTAATCAAAACAATACAGATCCAGGAGCAGGCAATCCCTTTAGTCAATCATTAAAAAAAACAAAAACAAAGAGTGAGCTTTTTGTCATCAAAAGCTTGCGGTTTGTTTTTTGTTTTCTTTTCCATTTTGGGTTTCTAGACATTTCTAGACAGCCCCCGAAATGTCTGGTCTTGTTTTCGATACTGTAGCCTACTGTGTTCTTTAAAGACTGGTTACCTGTTTTTGACGTTACGGTTTGCAAAGTTTCTCGTGATCATAAGAAAATTTGGAATAAATATCAGTCACCAGGATATAACTCTAAGCAGTATTAATACAGTCATAAAAATCACGACACAGGAAGCAGCAGCGGCCACCAAAAATTATTAAAACAACCAACCTAATGAAAACCATAAATTGGAAACAGGATTACTAAAATAACAAAACAGACTTGGAGGACAAGATGACTTTAACCTGGTGCCAAATTGGTGAAAACAATATGTGCATCCCTAAGCATTGGATGAATTTGACCCAACTCCGGAAGGCAGTGGAAGACAGGTGGGCCTGACATGCTCTGGTCCATAGGGTCACGAAGAGTCGGTCACGACTTAAAGACTAAACAACAAACAACAACAAAGCATTGGATGAACCATTGAAAAGGAGTTTCTTCCTGGTGGACCTTTGTGTCACTATTGGTGCTTAGAGTACCCTGACCTAGTGCCTGCCACGTTAAACTCGCTGTAGAGAAAAAAAGGAATAAAAATATTAATACACTTCTAGAGAATATGTCTGTTTTTTATTCATGAATGAGTGTTCACTCTGTTATAATTAATGCTTGAGTAGAACAGCAGGAGCTTTACCAAATAAGATATCATCAGAATTTTATTGGATTTGACCTAACAGAGGTAAATTGATTTTTAATATCTCAGATTTTGCAGCTAGTATTTTGAAAATGCTGTTACATTTTTTAAAAAATATACCTAATTACCTAGTCCACTTCCATCTTCTTATGTGCTGTCAAGTCACAAACAATTTAAGGTTCTCCAAACAGGGTTGGTAAGGTATGTGAGAAGTTCAAGGAGTGGTTTTCTCGTTAAATTTCCATGGCTGAGGTGGGTTAGGAAGCCAGTTCTTCTGAGTCTGATTTCAACATCACACACGCTTTAACCAGCTGGATTCCTTTTCATGTTCGTATACGGCTCCCCATCACTTGCTATGGCTAATGTTAGCTAATTGACAAGGTTCTAATTGACAAGTTGCACAGTCAGGTGCATGAGTGGGCATGTGGCTGAGATGTGCCTTGACGCCCTTGCCAGTTACCTGCAGCAAATGACACAAACCTAAAGCCAACGCCAAGAGGATTCTGGCCAAT